TCAGAGCGCAAAAGCGAAAAAAAACAAAAAGGAAACAAAAAAAATATCAATTCATTTTTAATCTTCTTCCTTACAACTTCCCCTGTTCAGAACCTCTTGCGTACAAGGCCGCCCACGTGGATGTGGTTGAGCAGCGGCTGCCCCCACCCCCGTGTGTCATATCGACCCACTTGCACACAGTCAAAAGGCAAAGAGGCAAAGAAAAAAGGAATATATATGTTTGATGATATATATATATCGTCAAAAGGAATATATATGTTTGATGATATATATATATAATATTTAAATTTTATATTTTATATATATTGTCACATAACTATGAACTAAGAAAGCGCACTTTGCAAAACAAACGGCAAAAATAAAAAAATAAAAAAATAAGGCAAACATAAAGAGCACAGTGAAACCATTCATTTTTCTCGTTCTTCTTTTGACTCGCCTTTCACCGTGTCTCTCACGTACAAGGATCGCCACGTTGATGAAGTTGAGCGCAAGCTGCCCCCATCCCCGTGTGCCATAACAGCCCACGCGTACGATGTGAGAAAGAGACAGAGTGAAGGGGGACGGAATAAACGCAGGGAGGAGAGATGGAGAACAAACAAACAAGGAACGATAAAGGGAAAGTAAGGGAGAGTATGGAGTGTGGAGTGAAGATGAAGGCAAAGGGGATAAGAAAAGGCTCAAGAATGAGTTTGTCCTTGAGGACAGAGAGGACATGCATTGTAAGGATGAGGTGGATGAACACATGGAAGACCTAGCTGAGCATTCTCAGTGCAATAATTGTCACGACGGGTGGCATTGAGCATGCCCACCATACACCCCTGACAAATGGCATGTCGATTGCAGGCCAAAATGAAAGAAGAACGATCACCATAGCGCCAATGGCCGCAAAATGGACATATAGTGTCTGGATGCGGAGGGTGCCTGCAGTCAGGAACGATGGGACAGTCCTTTGCACACATGGATGCAAAAACCATGTCATTGTAGTGATTGTAACAGAGATGGTGGCGGCTACAACCGAGTGTAACAGCGTTTGTGGTTGTGCAAAGGAGAAGGTCGCAGAGTGTTGGTACATTGTCTTGCTGCAGCACGGGGCTAGAGGAATGATCTTCGACATAAAAGACATTGCGGACGGTTTGTTGTGGCAAGAAAACAACATCATTTTGTAAGAAATCAGTGACATCAATCATGGCATGGACCATGGTGCCATTGTCCCACAGCTCCCTGTGGTGAGAGGCATGTACAATGGCCATGTAATGGCCTTGGCCGTGCACAATGCAGGCAGTGATGTGGGATGGAGGATTAAACCACTCACCTGCTCGAATATTGTGTAGTTCAAGTTGATGGTCCCTCATTGCTATTTGTAGGACAGCAATGGTAAAACCTCCTTCGTTGGTATAATTACAATCCTCTGGTTGTAGTTGGGGAAGATCAGCATCAAGTTGAAGGGCGAGTGCAAGGAAGTCTGGTGGTGTATAAAAGGGGCGGTGGAGAATGTGAAGACAAATATTACTTGTTGTCAGACCACAGAGATTGGTGAGGTTCTCAGGCTGGTTTGTTGGATGCTGGCCAACAATTTTCAGATCGCCCAGATGGTGTTGCTGAGGCCAAATTGTGTTGGGTTGTTTGCTGGTCAGTCATGTGCAGATCACCCATGTGGTCTGCGCGTGGCGGAGAACAAAATTGTGGTTCATCCGAACAATGCTGGTCATCCATTTGCAGATCCCCCATGTGGTCTACACCTTGTGGGGTCAACTGCAATCCGGGCAGATCATGTTTCATCCCTCAACGTTTAGGACTGCATCCTGGATAGGGACTGTACCTGGAGTCGGGAGTGTACTCTAGGCAGCGGCTGCGTCCTGAGTAGGGACTGTACCTGGAGTCGGGAGTGTACACATTGAACTTTCCATCGTATTAAGGGGGTAATTTCATGGGTATATTTTACTATATTCTCATGGGCCGTATTGAACTTTCTATCACTGAAAGGGTCACCTTCACCTCAAGGACCAAGTAAGGGGGTCATCTCATGGGTATATTCTTCTTGAGTCTGGCGGTGAAACGGTGGACAGTGCACAACAACACCTGAGTACAAGTGCATGCAAGCTCATAGCAATACTTGGGGGGAAGGGGGCTTAAACCACCAGTACTTCCTAAGGTCGTGCCCAACAAGCCACGAGTTTAGGAAATGTATGGGCCACTACAGGAGAGCCCAAATTCATCTCACTAAAAATGTTTCTAGTACTTTCTACTTTTTTTTTTTCCCATGGTCGATAGCTGGGCCAAGTACTGGTGATTTAAGCGAATGGGTGTCGATGCCGTATTCATCAGTAGCCTCTCTATGCCATAGGCCTCTCAAGCACACATGATGTTGGAAAGTTGCACATGCTTGTTCATTGTTCAAGTAGGCCCGTTTACTTAGGTAGTTGGTTCAAGACCAGATCAAGCCAAGGGTCCCCCTTCCCATGCTCAACCGGCCGGGCCAAAAATCAATTAAGAAACGAAAATATATATATATATATCGTCATATATATTCGATGATTTTTTTTATTTTTTTTTTCTGCAAAGATTTTTGGTCCGACCAAGAGGCAAAAGTTGTTCAGTTTATTTTCCGCACAACATAATTCTTTTTCGCTTTTTTTTTTCTTTTTCTTTTTTACAGGGACCTTCCCTGGTCCTTGCCCGCGGCCCGGTCAAACAAGGTGACCCGGGCGCCCCACTTTCTAACACAGGCCCCTCATACCACATGTCTTGTTTTCCCTGTATCTTCCCCAAATTTTCTCATGTTTTCTTCGGTTTGTCCCAACATTGACTTACCGTGAGGGCACGGGTGCGCAGCCCGTAGTTTGTTTGTTGATGTGGTTGGGGAAGGGGAGGGTAGTGATTATGCTGTGTGTATGTTTTGTCATGTTCGCTATACACAACTCGAAGAGTGTGTGTGGGGGGGGTCCCGGCTGGTGCTTCATTCACGATGTTCATGGGACGCTGGACCCAGTTTCCAGCAGGTGCCGCTCCCCACCAATAGACAGGAGAATGTGTGTGTGTGTGTGTGTGTGTGTGTGTGTGTGTGTGTGTGTGTG